TTACTGGTCTGGGGGAGCCCGCGGGCTCTTGCTCTCATTTGTTTGGGGGGTTTTTCCTTTTTTTTTTTTTTTTTTTTTTTAAAGCCTCTTTAAACCATATTGTCTGCACCTTTGCTAAGCACAGTGTGAGCCAGAGGTGGTGGCATTTACCATGAGGAAACATTAAGCTGTTTGTGAGCAGTTGTGACAAACTGGGTGGGGGCTGGTGGAGCCAGCAGAGATCTGATGGCAGCACAGCCACTGGATGCTTCTTTACCCTGGGAGAGGGATGATCTTGAACTAGACAAATCCTATTTAAAGAACTGGGTAATTAGTCTTATCACTCTGCAGATTAGCATTTTGAATCTCTCTCAGTAAAAATGTAAATTAAAGGCAAATTGCCTATACTATTGCTGTCTTTTGAAAAGCACATAACTGAAAACTATTTAGTTATTTGAAACACTTCTTTGAATTGCCTTCAAAAAGGAGATTGAATTTTTTTCCCCTCATCTAAATGAATGGATTTGGTGGTTGCTGAACAGCAGTGTTAAGATGGGGTTTGTGCCTTGCACAGCCCCACCTTGTCTGAGGGTTGAAAAGGTCAAAGGGCCTCACCCCAATTTATTTCTTGTGCAGGGTAGCAAAACCAAACTTAACCCCTCATCTTTACATTGACCTTACAATAAATATTAATTAGCTTGTGGATATTTTATGATCTCTCAGCAGTCTTTTTAATGATCCTTTTTTTCATTCCTTCAGCTGCCTAGTGCTGGGGTCCCTTTCTACGCCCAGTGTTGTTGAGCAGCATTTGTGCTCTGGTGGGCTGAGCTAGAGCCACTCGCCAGCTTGTTGTCACCAGTGAGGTGTGCAGGCAAAACCTGGGAGCAAGAAAAGAACCATTTTTAGATGTTTGAACATCATCTCACCCTGATGTTGTGGTGTGGGGTTTTTGGAGTCATGTCCCTGCTGCCCCTTCACCCCCCACCCAGCCCCTAAGTATTTAAGTATTCATTTAATGTCTCTCTACTGGGATAGGGGGGAACAGTAAAGTAGTTGCAAACACTCTGACCTGGGTGATTTTGGAGAAGAGGAGGGAAGGTGTGAAAGCCTAGAGTGTGGTGCTGGTCCTCTTTCTGGTAGATACTGCTGGTTTGGAAGCTTCTGCTCTAATAGCTGAGGATAAGAGGATCCCAACTGGGGAGGAGGGAGGGAGGAGAAAGTCTAAGACCCTTTACTGGAGGTAAGTAAACAGTCTTTAGGTAGTAACAAAAGCTTAATAGCTTTTTTCTAAAGCAATTCAGAGAGTAAACCAAATTTAAGAAAATTGCGAGCACATCACTTGTTACTTTTACTTGCAAAGTTCAACCAAGTTGGTATTACGTTCCATTGTTTAGTGTCAGTTTAAGAAAAGCAACACAACAACAAAACCCCTTTGTGCTTATCTAACACACTTCATGTCTCTACTTGTTTTATTTCTAGCATATTATCAAGTTTCACCGTGCCTCAAAAGCAAATAAAAAGCCCATGCAGTTGCCAAGATCTATGGTTAAATCCCTACTCTACCAGATCCTGGATGGAATCCATTACCTCCATGCAAACTGGGTACTTCACAGAGACCTGGTAAGCCTTGCATGTGTTACCTGGCTAAGGAAGCTCCACGTGCGGGTTGGTGGGTAGGAGAAGTCAAGTCCCCATGAGTGACCCTGCGTATCGATCCCTGCAGCTCTTCCTGGTATTGTTGCCCGAGACCAGTGGAGGCTTTAAGCATGAAAACAAGCTGTGATTTCACATTGTTTTTATCTGAGTCATCTGAGCTGGGACAATGATGCTGGATCCGGGAGAAGGGTTGCAGATATCAATATCCGAAAGCGGCGCACGGGCCAGCTGGTAGATGGTGGTGGAACAGCCTTGCAAGCCTGTGGACAGCTTTGAAAAGGCATTTGAGAGGAGAGTGATTGATACCCTTGTTTGGCTTCTGTGCAAGTTGCCATAAAAGCTAGTGAAAGAGTCATCCTTTCATGGAGTATTTCTTTTCCATGTGGTATTTTTTTGTGACCGTGGGAAGAGAGCTATGCAAGTTATCATCTTGAAATTTCTCATGACCTGAAGTGCCTCTTTAAGTTGACTGCAGATTACAAGGGCAGCCAATTGCCTTGTCTTAGTTACCCTTTTCCCTTCACAGTTTCCCACTGCTCCTCATACCTCAGTGAAGTGCTACCAAGGGTTGCAGAAAGGACACCAACGTGTGTGCTGTGCTTGGTGCCACCTGCGTTGTCACCAGAAATGCTGGCATGAGACAAGCAACGTGATGCTTATTGTGTCAAACCTGTTCTTATAGTTAATGCTGTTGTAACATCAGCAGTAGGTATGGCAGGAAATGTAGCAATAATAAACAGCCACTGCTTTTGTTTGGTTATTTTTCATCGTTGCCCAGTTCATCAAAATAGGGAAGCATGTCCAGAAACTTAGAACTAGTGGTTACATTTGGTCAGACATAAATAGTTCTTGAGGCTTTAATAGTAAACTGGGACTTGGATTCAGTTTTGGATGTAGAGCAAATGTTTTCTTAAAAGGTAGGAATAAACTAAGCCAGGCCTGGAGCAGAACTCTCAGACATCTTCTGAAGTAAATTCATTATTTTTGTCATAATACCCCCTAAGAGTGGCCAGAAGTAGCATTTCAGGTTTTGGCATGGGTATCTTGTTTTAACCTTGTTACTTGGTATTTGTTGTCAGGTTTTCTGTTAAATGCCAGATGTTAGCAAATTTGTGTGAGCCTCTTTTTTTTTTTTTTTGCCTTTGGAGTAGTAACTGGGAGCAGGAAGCAAGTACAACCCTGATTTTCACACTACAATTTTTTTCCTTTCCTGAGGAGGCAGCTGTTCCTGTGGCAAAGGGCTGAGGTGCAGTGAGATCCAGCTGGAGAAGCAACACCTGAGGAGTCTGCATTGTTATTTTATGGGAAGCGTATGTGTTGATGGAACTGTTAAGTACATACACACTGAGTGCCATGCATGAGCTTGGTGTCTTGGTAGGGAAGACTAGATGGTATCTGAGGTAATAATAACAAATACCTTAGAGAGTTTTCCTGCCAATGTTGCTATTTCCAGCCTGCAGTGCCAGGTGATGTGCGTGACTAGTGCTGCTTTGCAAGTCTGATCTGGTGTTGAGGAGGTGCAGCAAAGCTCCAGCTCCTGGAGAGAGTCCAGAGAAGGGCCATGAAGATGATCCTTGGGCTGGAGCAGCTCTGCTCTGGAGCCAGGCTGGGAGAGTTGGGGTGTTCAGCCTGGAGAAGAGAAGGCTCCAGGGAGACCTTAGAGCACCTTCCAGGGCCTGAAGGGGCTCCAGGAAAGCTGGGGAGGGGCTTGGGACAAGGGCAGGGAGGGAGAGGACAAGGGGGGATGGATGGAAACTGGAGCAGGGGAGATTGAGGTGAGACATGAGGAGGGAATTGTGGAGTGTGAGGGTGGTGAGAGCCTGGCCCAGGTTGCCCAGGGAAGCTGTGGCTGCCCCATCCCTGGCAGTGTTGAAGGGCAGGTTGGATGGGGCTTGGAGCAGCCTGGGCTGGGGGGAGGTGTCCCTGCCCATGCAGGGGGTGGGACTGGGTGGTCTTGGAGGTTCCTTCCAACACAAACCATTCTATGGCTCCATGATGATATGATGATGTCTCAGTTTTTTCTCGTGGAACTTTGGGAGCTGATGGTTACTGTTATGAAAAATGCAACTGTTTTCCATGGCTCTGGAATGATAGTGCTTGACTGATGTTGGAATAGTTGGGAAGGGAGAAGAACAGAAATGAGTGAAGTCTTAATGTGTTCTTGGTATGAGAGTAGATTTTAGATAATGGATTTTGGGGACCTCAGTGAGAGAAAGGAAACCATTAACAAGAATTGCTTTGGTGCATTGAACACCAAGAACAGTCTCCTAGAGAAGCAAAACCAGTTCATCCCCTCTAAAGGCAGGGGAAGTAGGTGGAACAAGAGAAGACCCCCTTGGCTTAACTGTGAGCTTCTGTGTCTACTCAGATCCAAAAAAGAACCAAAAGTTTCTGAAGAATTCAAGTATTTGGAACAGTTATTTTGGGTCTTGAACACAGTAAGAAAAACACCGATGTGATTCTGGATGTGTCCTGACTGCTCCTGAAATTAGGGGATAATGTAAACATTCAGCAACCAATTTAAATTCTCACCTAGCCAACATTTTAATGTGTCTCTAATTGTTATTCGTGTGCTCCCAGCAGGGATTTTTGCTTCTAAGAAAGGTACCTCAGGCAGGATTTCACTGGGATCAATTTCTTGCATAACATGTGAATCCCAGCTCTTCAGTTTTTTTCTGAAGATGAGGAGCAGTTTGTTTGGTGTTTTTCCCTTTGCTGTTTTAAGTTTACATCCTCTGGAAAAATATTTTTCTATTTTATGTAAACCAAATTTTGCATCAAGACACCTTGTGCTTTCCTGGTTTAATATAACTCTCTTCTTACTATTTTTAGCATGCATTTGGCTGGAGACCAGAGCTGGTGACATCCATAAAAGTCATGTTAAGCTTATCTCATGGCTTTTTTTTTAATTTAAAAAAAAAAAAAAAAAAAGATTCTCCACAAATATTTATCATAATATTAGGCAAATTCTCCTGAGCCATGGAAATGACCTTTTAGCATTTATTTAACAAACGTTGCAATGAAAAAAACAGAAGCAGGGGGGTTAGGTATTTGTGAGAGTACTTGCTTGGGGGCATTTGAAGGACGTGGTTTAAATCTTATTTTGGTACTGTCTTAAATCAAAGTTTTTAAAGAGACTAGAATGCCAAATGTGCTTTTCAAAAACCCTGATTACTCTGAAGTTATTTTTGGAGGGGGCTGAGTTTTCAGTTTCACGTGGGCAGGGGAGGCCCAGCTTTGCTTTGGGGGCAGTCATGGTGCTTGGAAGCTCCAGCGTTCAAAAAAGGGGTAGATGTGTTATTTCAGGAGATGGTTCAGTGGTTGTTGGGTGAAAGGTTGGACTGGATGATCTTGAAGGTCTTTTCCAACCTTGAAGATTCTATGATTCTATGATAAACAGTAGCCAGGAAAACCATGAAAGAGTAGTAAAGCTGGTGAACAACGTGGACTTGCAATATGTGCCCTGTGCTTGGGCTGAGCTGCTGGGTAGTTTCTACCACAAGGAGACAGTCTCATTCCCCTCCTCACTACCACTTGGCATTGTCACCCATTTTAATGGCCTGGCAGGTGAAACCTGACTTAGGGGTGAGCTCCTTCAGGGAGTGAAACCCACAGCAAGTGTTGGCTTTTCTCCTGCAGAGCTCGTTTTCTGTAGGATCAGCTCCCTGAGGGATCTCACTGGGAGTTCCATGTGTGCAGGAGCTGGCACAGGAGCAGCATGAGGTGGTGGCAGAAAGCTCAGCAGGTCCTTCTAGCATCACCTGCCATGAGCTTAGGTTATTTATTGTTAAAATGGACCTTTTTAATTCTTAAATGATGGTTTCTCATTAAACGCTTTTGTCACTTTAAACTCTCCCCACGCAAGTTTAGATGGAGGAAACTCTTCAAATGGGAGCAAACTATAGCACATAATAAATGCACTCACTGTTATACTTCTAGAAATAACAAAATAATTCAGTGGATCTTTCAGTTGCTTTCTGGTTTTCTTATCCTGAAGGTAGCTGAAAGGTCCAAAGTGAGTTTTTAAGTGTATTTTTTTGGTGGCTAATATGCAAATTTGCAGCAGTAACTTTCTTTGGGGTGAAATTCCAGCTAGTGCAGAATATGGGCCCAGGAGCACTGGAGTTTTTTTTCTTTGAATAGAATCACAGAATCATTGCATGGTTTGGGTTGGAAGGGACCTTCAGGATCATCCAGTCCCAACCCCCTGCATGGGCAGGGACACCTCCCACCAGCCCAGGCTGCTCCAAGCCCCATCCAACCTGCCCTTCAACACTGCCAGGGATGGGGCAGCCACAGCTTCCCTGGGCAACCTGGGCCAGGCTCTCACCACCCTCACACTCCACAATTCCCTCCTCATGTCTCACCTCAATCTCCCCTCCTCCAGTTTTCATCCATTCCCCCTTGTCCTCTCCCTCCCTGCCCTTGTCCCAAGCCCCTCCCCAGCTTTCCTGGAGCCCCTTCAGGCACTGGAAGGTGCTCTAAGGTCTCCCTGGAGCCTTCTCTTCTCCAGGCTGAACACCCCAACTCTCCCAGCCTGTCTCCAGAGCAGAGCTGCTCCAGCCCAAGGATCATCTTCATGGCCCTTCTCTGGACTCTCTCCAGGAGCTCCATCTTTCCTGTGTTGGGGGCTCCAGAGCTGGACACAGTAGGTACAGTGTGTGGAGTGAAGTATTTCAAGGTATTATGATATATTATATTTGTCCCTGCCTCCCCCTAACATGAATTATTTAGATGTAGATGGATGCTCAGCAGAACCCTTCCTTTTCAGAGACATCTGAAAATGGAGATCTTCCAAACACTCTTCTCATGTGTGTTCCTGGTAGCAACAAAAGGTTTTTGCATTTTTGCTAATAACTCTTCTGTAGTGGATGTTAGTTGCTTAAGGACAAAAGCAGGCAGAGACCATTTCCTTTAGAGCTTGATAAAAGCATTTTCTGTTTGTAATAGGTTGTATTTTCCTG